GGGTAAAATGCGACAGAAAAACTAAGGACACCGAATGAAATGCAATGGGTAATAGAAAGGGCCGGGCATTGCCCACAGCGGTAGAAAATGCAGTAATAATGAACAACATGACCAGCTGAGATTTTACGAATTGCTTATATCATAGCAAATGAAAAGCACCAATATTAAAAAAAAAATACTGAAACATGCTTAAAATGAGGGGAAGTAGCCATTTCCTAGCTTCCAGCTGTGAGATTCTCTGTATCCCCTAAGATTCTTAGTTAAGCATCTTAAACAGCAACTCTTAGCTCCCTGCTCCCGCCACTGTTCGTGATACGAAATCACTGCTGAGAAGAAAGAAGCAAAGAATCCGGAGCATATAGCATTTGTATCGGAAAAATGAAGAAAGCAGAAAAACAATTATTAGGATCAGTCGCAGGCCAAGTGGCCTACCAACTGACGTAGCATAGCAAAGCATGGAAATGTTTATCAACTACATGGAGAAGGTAGATGGGTCACCATGAAACAATAACTAAAAAATTCGGAAAGACTTCAAGATCTCGCCCAGTAAAAAGTTCGATGATACTATCCGCCCCGAAAAAACCCTTGGACCAATAGTCCCTTCAGCATGCTCTACTACACGGCTACTCTTTTACTGAGTGAGCTGAGAGTAGTAGCGTGTGGCCCACCTAAGCAATTCGCCATTCCTAGAAATACTCAGGAACTGCTCATGACGCTGATAATGGCCTTTGCACAGCTAGTGTAAAAAAGCAGCAGACGAAACTGGGCAGTAAAACATTGGATAGAATGGATGCAGAAATGAAACAAAACATACTTATATTTCATATTACAGCACTACAAAATAATTATAGTTAACACCGCACATGATAAAATAAAAATTTTCTTTGAATTTACGCTGCTCCCAGTCGGCAGAGTGCCACATCGCGGTCTAGGAATACCAAAATACCCGACGGATGATGATACTCAACACACACGGAACCTTGCTAAGTGCATCTATCGGAAGAACCACCGAGCTGTCAATCCTTTCCGCGGGCGAAACGAGCCTGATGAACATCAGGAGACTGACCAACAGTTGATGCAAAATTGGTTACCACCCCCAAAGAGCTGGAG